TGCCTTCTTAATATTTTTACAATTGAATTGAGTGTTTTTTTTTTTTTTTTTTTTTTTTTTTTTTGGTTTTTTATTTTGGTTTGTTTGTTTGTTTTGAGACAAGGGTCAAATAAGGCTGTCCTCAAACTGGCCCTGCTTGATGATCTCCAACGGTCCTCCACCTCCCGAGAGCTGGAGTTATTATGGCCCAGTGCCGCCCAGCAGGTACAGTTGAATTGGATTTCACTGCATGGGGCCATCAGAATATTTCTAGTGCTTCCTGCATTTCTGAGTCTCAATGTGTCCCCACACCACCCCCAGGCAAATGGACAAGAGGAGCTGGGAGTCAGGGGAGCCTAAAAGCCAAACAAGGGGCCTGCAAACCTGTGGAGAAGCCCTTTGGAACTGGTAGCAGTTGCCTGGGAAGCTACCAGGAGGAGGAGGCTCCAGGAGAAGTCGTCAGTGAGAGGACAGGATCCACGCTTCAACCGCCTCTGAGGCGGCATTTTACTGCTATTTGTTTGTTTGTTTTATTTGGGTATTTGTATGTTTGTTTGTTTGTTTGGTACAGGGGGTTAACTATCTCAAGGTGAGTTAGAGTTCATGAATTTCATTGTTTATTTTCATTCTGAACTTTGTGTTAGGTAAAGCTATTTAGCTGTTTATTTCCTGTGTATTGCAGAAGACACTCTGGACACAAAACAATGGAGTTGGGTGGGGGAAGGGATGAGCAGGGAAACGCAAGTCCAAAACTGCTCAGTCCACGGATTTGAAAGGTAAAGATGAGTCCAAACCACAGAGGGCAACATTACTTACAAGTTTTGTTATCTTTAGACTTAACTGGATGAAGGTGGCCTGTACTTTCCACACCAATTTAGCCAAATAAACGATAGGATTTCACCATGGCATTTCCACACAGGTTTCCAGTGGAACTGCTTGTGTGATGTGGTGATGGGTGTGGAGAGTCACATCCGGCACACAGCCTACCCTGAGCGTGAACTCTGACACAAATGTAGACTTTCCAGTAGGACTGATTTATCGTTGAGTTGTTGGGAGGTGGGGAGGTGGGGCACGGGCATGGGAATACAGGAATTCTGTTTCTCCCTAGTGTTACTGTGAATTTTGTTATTTTATATGTATGTGTGTGTTTATATATATATATATATATACATACATATGTGTGCAGGTACCAGCCATGGAGGTGAGAAGGCATCAGATCCTTTGAAGCTGGAGTTGCAAGCGCTTGTGAGTTGCCTTGCCTGGGTGCTGCAAACCAAACCTGGGTCATCCGCAAGGGCAGCAAGGGTTCCTAAGCACTGAGCCATCTCTCCAGCCCATTTGCTCAGAAGAATAAAATGTCGGGTTTGGGTTTCTGGTTTGTTTTGTTTTGTTTATGTTAGCCTGAAGAAGGGTAACCAAGTGATCCATTCCAAGCAGGGAGCAAAGGGAAGCTTGAGGCTGTTACAAATCCTGGGGAAGGCGGAGGAGGGGAGGGGATTTGCCTTCACACTATGGTTGGTAGTTTGGGTTTTGTTCTTCCCAGCTGGGGGTTGAACTCAGGGCCTCCTCAGCACGTGCTAGGCAAGCCCTCCATTACTGAACACCACCCCGGCACTGCAGGGATTTCTTGTGTCTTCCATGCTGGGCAGCTGGAACAGCAGCCACAGCCCCTACAGGCATCTCTACAAGGGTCCCCTCTGCCACAGCAACTCCGCCTCCCGGGATTCAGGGTGTCACCCTATGCTCTCTGTATAATGCACCAAAAGATGCGGTAGCCCTTTCAAAATGAGGTTACAAAAACCTTGTAGCTTCTACTTGCATCCACCAGAAACCCCCCGCTACCCCCCCCCCAGGAGTAAGCTGCTGTGTTACAGTGAGAACTACAGAGAGATTCAGATAGAGAGGAACAATTACACCCCGACAACAGCCTACCACCAGGACTCCACCAGAAAGTAGATACCACCGCATACAAGGGGTACAATACGTGGTCTTTGACTGGGCCCTGAGTAGATTTATCAGCATTTGTAAAAGATAGTTTGGGGTGAATTAGGTATTGACTAAGAATAGATGTGGCGATATATTGTGTACCCTAATAAAATTTACCTGAAGATCAGAGAGACAAACGAACAAACCACCGCCACATTTCACCTCGCCAACTCCACGAATCCTCCGACTGAATGCCCCTGAGTCCTCACCTAAAAGGCTCCAGCCAAAAAAGCCTCTACCTGAGAGGGACGGTTCTACCAAAAAGCCTTTAGTTCCTGTCTCCTCACGAATTATATACCTTTCTCTGCCCAGACATCACTTCCTGGGATTAAGGGTGCGTGTGCTTCCCAGTACTGGGATTAAAGGTGTGTACCACCACTGCCTGGCCTCTGTGTTTAATATAGTGACTTGTTCTGTCCGCTGATCTTCAGGTAAATTTTATTAGGATACACAATATATCACCACAAAGAGATAAAATAAAAATTAACAAAATGTAAAGGCAAAAATTACTGAATGAAAAAAGGCAGCTGGGCATGGTGGCACACGCCTTTGATCCCAGCACTCAGGAGGCAAAGGCAGGCGGATCTCTGTGAGTTCAAAGCCAGCCTGATCTACAAATTGAGTTCTGGAACAGCCAGAGCAGTTACACAGAGAAACCCTGTCTCAAAACAAACAAACAAATAAGTAAGTAAAACAATAAAAGACAAATTCCAAACAGCATTTTAAAATTTTTTATTTTATGTGCATTGGTATGAGGGTGTCAGATTCCTTAGAAACAGAATTACAGACAGTTGTGAGCTGCCATGTGGTTGCTGGGAATTGAACCTGGGTCCTCTAGAAGAACAGTCAGTGGTCTTAACCACTAAGCCATCTCTTAGTCCCCCAAACAGCATTTTCATTTCAATCTCATTTTTCTAAAAAACAAAAGCATCAGTGTATATGCATGAAAAGAGATAAATTTTACCCTATAATTCCATTTCTAGATATATATCCAAGAGAAACAAGTTCATGTGATTACCAAAAGACAGATACAGAATGTTCATAGAATTTTTATTTATTATAGACCCTTGGGATCATCCTTAACAGAAGAATGGATAGATTAAATTGTGATATTATTTAAGAATAGTCTACTGCAGAGCTGTGAACCACTCCAAGATGCTGATAAGGACTAGCTCAGAAATAACAGGCTGAAGGGGGCAGAGAGAGGATCCAGCAGGTAGGAACACTTGCTGCTCTTGCAGAAGACCCAAGTTCAGTGCCCAGAACCCATTGGGTGGTTCAAAACCTGTAACTCCAGCTCAAGGAGATCTGACTGACACCCTCTTCTGATCTCTGCAGACATCTGTACACACATAGCATGCACACACACATACATAGAAATAAAAATAATAAACCTTAAAATGCCACACACCCTGGAGAGGATGGCTGCTGCTAGCCAGGAAAGGGCAGGAGAAAGCTTTTAACATGAAGTGAATGACTAAATATTGACTTGGTTACACAGAATTAGATTCATATACATAAATGCAAAAAGCCACCAAATTGTATGTTTAATATTTGTGGTTTATGCAATTCAATTATATCTCTTTTCGTTCAACTTTCTTTTTTCTTTTCTTTCTTTCTTATTTTGTTTGTTTGTTTTTGTTTTTTGAGACAGGGTTTTTCTGTGTAGCTTTGCACCTTTCCTGGAACTCACTCTCTAGACCAGGCTGGCCTCAAACTACAGAGATCCGCCTGGCTCTGCCTCCCAAGTGCTGGGCGCCACCACCGCCCGGCTTTTTTTTTTTTTTTTTTTTCCCGAGACAGGGTTTCTCTGTGTAACAGCCCTGGCTGTGCCGGAACTTGCTCACTTGCTCTGTATACCAGGCTGGCCTCAGACTCAGAGATTCACCTGCTTCTGCCTCTTGAGTGCTGAGATTAAAGGTGTGTGCCACTGACTTTCTTGAAGAAAAAAAAAAAAAAAAAGTCCAGAGGCTGGAGGTGCAGGTCAGAGGCACAGAGCTTGATCTGCAACACCAGAAGTAGAGGGCAAAAGAAGCCAGCCAGATTGAAAGTGTTAGCAGTAGTCATTTCTAGGTGGTGGGAATGCACGTTTTGATTTGTTCTAGTCTTGATCTATATTTTCTTTGAGGAGGGGTGTGAAACAGGACCCCACTCTCTAGGCCAGGCTGACCTGAAACCCATTCTTTAGCCCAGGCCAGCCTTGGACTCGCCCGCAGCCACTAACCTCAGACTCTGGCTATCAGGAGCGCACGCTGTAAAGTACCCCACCCGCTTCTGATCTCCATTTTCTATTATTGTTTTTTCTTTTGCAGCAGATAGGCAACACTTCTATAATAATCAAACGTTATTCTGAGAACTACATTCCAAATATTTGATTCATGCAGCCTCAGGGGGAAGTCAAGAAACCCGGCTGGCACCGGTCCCGAAGGAGAGAGGGGTGTGGCCTCACATAATAGGAATGAGGGGCTAATCGCCCTGGCATCTGGATGGGGGTGGGGTGGGGAGCTGTTCAGGGGAAGTCCCGAATGCTGAGCGAGCAGCGCGAGGAAAGTCCCAGTGGACCCAAGTATCCGGCCATGCGCAGTCATGGAAAGTAACCAGGAGATCGAACCGAGAAGATCCGGGTCTGAATCCAGATGCCACTGTTGACTAGTTGACTAGCCGTGGCTTTTAAAAGTCATTTGCTCTCGGAAGTCCCTCCGTGGCGGCTTAGTCATACGGCAAGGGCTAAAAGCCCCGTCGCTGCCCTGCACCGGTTCTTTCCACTCTGCACACCACTTCTCCGGTTTCTGGAATCGCTGCTGGTCCTGACTCTCATAAAAGAGCAGTTTACACTTGGCGAACCACGAGTTCTGGTTCGGTTCTCACAGGGCTTTGTGACAAGCGGGTTCTGCGCTTTCCCATGTCTCCCCTTGTGTGGGTTGTTTCTTGCTGGGCTCTGAGGCAGGGTCTCGCGCTGTTTCCTGGGCTGGCCTCACTCTCTCTAGCCTCCCGATTGGGATTTCTAAAGGCTGGAATTACAGGGATGCCCCATTGTGCCCAGTTTTGTTCTTTTCCCTTAATTTTCTTTTGTTTCCAATTTTAACTTTACTGTATGTGTATAAAGTATATTGGTGCCCTTGGTGCCCAGAAGAGGGAATCAGATCCCCTAGAATTGGACTTACAGGTGGTTGAGAGCCACCATGTGGATGCTGGAAATCAAACCCCAGTCCTCTGGAAGATGAGTCAGTTCTCTTAACTGCTGAGCCATCTCTGGACACTTTCTTTTTCTTTCTTTCTTTTTGGACAGGGTTTCTTGTGAACCAGACTGGTTCCAACTCCCCGTACATTTGGTGATGGATGATCTTGAACTTCTGACTGTCTTGCCTCCATGTCCAGAGTGCTAGGATTATAGGCAAGTGCCACCATGCTTAGGGCTAAGGATTTAACCCAGGGTTCCGAGTTCCCGTGTGCTAGGCAAGCATCCCTGCAGCTGAGCCGGGTTCTCGGTCACTTCCTTTCCCTTTCATTCATTCGTTTGTTTGTTTGTTTGTTTTTATGTAGATGTGTGCTTTGCCTGCACATATGTCTATGTATCATGTGCATACCTGGTGCCCAAAGAGGTCAAAAGAGGGTGTTGAATCCCCTGGAACTGGAGTTACAGACAGTTGTGAGCTGCCATGTAGGTGCTGGGAATTGAACCCAGGTCTTCTGGAAGAGCAACCAATGCTCTTAAGCCCTAATTTCCTTTTTGTTTTGTTTTGTTTTTTGTTTTTCAAGACAGGGTTTCTCTATGTAGTCCTGGCTGTCCTGGAACTAGTTCTGTAGCCCAGGCTGGCCTTGAACTCACAGAGACCCGCCTGCCTCTGCCTCCTGAGTGCTCCACCACCATTGGTCCCTTCTTTCCCCTTTTTTATTTTATTTTATTTTATTTTATTATTATTATTATTATTATTATTATTATTGGTTTTTTGAGACAGGGTTTCTCTGTGTAGCTTTGCGCCTTTCCTGGAACTCACTTGGTAGCCCAGGCTGGCCTCGAACTCACAAAGATCCGCCTGGCTCTGCCTCCCGAGTGCTGGGATTAAAGGCGTGCGCCACCACCGCCCGGCTCTTTCCCCTTTTAAAGAGAAGTTGCCGAGGCAATGAAGAGCTGCACACAGGTAGTAACTGATAGAATTAGGCCCTTCCTCTGGCCTTGATATTCCAAATGCTGCCTTCTTCCCAAGACTTTCTGGGTGGCCTCTCAGAACCCCGATGTTTAACTGCCCACTCTTCACCCCCCCACACAGGCTCTTGTGTGTAGGGAGGCACTGAGGCTCTGGGTAGTGATATGTACTGTACGGTGAGAGAGGGGGGCCTCGGTGGATTTGGAGACAAGGTGCCCCAGGGCGGGTGGGAGACAGAGACACCACACAGACTGGGCTCAATGAAGAGTTTTATTTGGTGGGGAGAAGAGAGAGGGAAAAGGGAGAGAGAGAAAGGAGGAGAGAGGAAGAAAGAGGAAGGGAGGGAAAGAGGGAAAGCGGAGGTGTGCACACTTCATGGCAGGTAAGGGAGGAAGAGGAAGAAGAGAGGGTCTTTCCCCAAAAAGGCCTTACATCAGGATGCAGGGTGGGTTCCCAAGGCACAGGCCAGCGTGCCAACACTCTGCCCATAGCCACCCTCAGCGTCATCACTGTGCTGATTCATGTCTTTCAAAGACCCAGACTCCTGGCTCTGCAACCCCAGAGGCCCATGGGAGTCCAACCCTGCAACTCTGGGCAGCCACTGAGCACAAGGTCTTCCATTCCTAGTCCCCAGCCTAGTTCAAAAGTGACCATCAGCTCTCTCTATCCTAAGAGTCGCCTCTTCATCTGGACGCTCTACCGCCGGCCCACCTCCTTCCTTTCCGGGGAGGTTCTCTCCCAAGCCCAGCACCCCGACTCCCCCACCCCTATCCAGGTCCTGCTCTCCCTAACATCCTTCCTCAGGCCTCAGAGTCCCTCACAGCAGTGAGAAGCAGGGTGAGAGGCGATGCCGGGCTCAAGAGGCAGCAGCTGCAAGCAGCCCGCACGCACTACACTCTCTTCAATAATTCATTCTCCAGCAGGCTGCAGGCACCATGCCCTCCTTCTGAACCAGAGATGGCTGCCGGCGCCGCCGCTCAGAGCCCTCTGTGGGGTGGGAGAGGGAGGCTGACAGTAGCGGGACAATGAGCAGAGACCGTGCCCAGCCTCCCAGCCGAGGCTGCACATGGCCCACTATTTCCTGTGAAAAGGGTTCCAATCTGGGCTGACGCCAGGGGGCCAGGGAGACAAAGCCACATTGCCGTGAGCCAGGGGGAAACAGAAGGATCTCAGAGGGCGCCTGCACCCGGCTCTCTGGAGTGCGTGCCCCAGGGTCAACCCTGTGACCTGGCTGAGCCTCTCCAGGCAGGCTACCTTTCTAATGGATGTCCACACCCCTCGGTCGGTCCCCCACAGGTCTCAGCTGTCCCCACCTCAGGAGCTTGGCTCTGCTGGATCTGTCATCTTAGTCTACATCCCCGAACCTCTTCTTGGGCTTGCCATTCCACCCCCATCTCTCCACCCCGCCAGCCTCTCTGGCTAACCACTGCTCGTAGACAGTGGGGGTGGATGACCTGAACCGACCCTGCGTGTGGCAAGGGGATTCAGAATCCTAAACATTAGGAGTGTGCCAAGCAGTTCTTTGTCTGTAGCGAGGAGGAATGGTGTAAGGTCTAACCCGTGGCAGGGCCTTTGCGTCCCCTCTCCTTCACCGGGGACACACTGGATTCTACTCCTCTGCTAGCCCTGTTCCTCCTATAATCCACTCTTTGCAACTGGCCACCTAATGCAGGGAAACCGGGATCAAAGACGAGAACGAACATTCATAGAGCACCTCAACTGCACCAGGCTGAGCCAGACTCTGATAGGCAGAAGTCTGGAGCCAAGCATCTCTGGCTACTCCTCTTCCAAGCAAAGAGGGACACCCACCCCCCAAATGTACAAAACAGATCCACTGTCTGCCCCAAAGTGGGCAAGAGTTGGGTCTGGAAGCCATAGCTTCCTCTTCATTCCCTCTCAGGGCCTGGTTTCTGGGAGATACGTGCAATCATTCTGGGCACTGTCAGCAAGAAACTCTTCAGCCGTATTTATAGCAAATGCTGCATCAGGGGATGGAGCCTGAAAGTGCCTCAAAGCATCAAATAACTCTATAGGCCCTGAGGCGGAGCCCAGGAAAATAACACTGATTGCAGCGTGAGAGACTGAGGTTGGATGATGGAGGAACTTCCCCACAGCAATATTTGGAGCTAACAATGGGAATTCCCTATAGAAGTTACTTCCACATAATTTTCTCAGGATTGGCATCTTTTTTGGTCTAATAGGCACAAAAGGATGGATATGGTAGACTACCGATTCTGTCCTGGTAATGCCCAGACTTCCAAATACCAGGGCCACTTGCTTAGTTGTCCAGATTACACCATTCTGAAGAGGCAAGTGGAGATTGAAAGCCATTTCTACAGCAGCAGGGCAGACTAGTCAGGATGGCTGGCAGGGGCCCTGCCCAGCACCCTGAGTCCTGACAGGGTGAGCTGACAAAGCCTTGGGGGCCTCTGTATGGGAACCCAGATCTGCACAGCCAAGCTGCGGCCGGAGCCCTAGAGAGGCAGGCATGCTCGCTAAGTGCCTCTCTTAGGTAAGTCAAGGCACAGCTGCAGATCAGTCTTCAAAGTGGGGAGTTTGTGACCTGCCAATCACCTCACGGGGAGGGCCTTTGAAGGGAGTTCAGGAGTCTGGAGACTGGGCTCCCTAATCCAGTTCTGATGCCTGCCTGCCTTCTTGGCATAGCAGAGACCAGGTATGAGACCAGGCATGTGACCAGAGACCAGCGTGGGTGAAAAGGAACAGGGGACGGACATGGGCTGCCCCTGTGCATCTCACTGGGAGAACTGATGTTTACGCTTTAAAGAGGCGGCCATGGCTTCAGGGGTGTAGGTTCAGGCAGAGGGAGGAGGGAAGCCAGGCACAATTGCTTCTCCTGTGAAAACTGAAGCGCCCCAAGGCCCAGAGGAGCTAGTCCATTAGCTGTGGTCAGCAGGGGAGGCAAGGAGGGAGGGGGGTGAGCGGTGTGTGTGTGGGGGGAGAGACTTCTCTCCCTCCAGGTCTTATTGCCTAAGCTAAACTTTAGTTCCCTCTATTACAAGCCCCAACAAAAACAAAATGCAAAGAATGAACACCCTCCTACCTCTCCTCTGCAGGCTCGAAGCTGAGTAAGTTGGGGTGGCCACATTTGTGGCAGGAACAGACCACAGAGGAAGGGCAGGCAGTGGCTTCCCCAGGCGCTTTCCAGGTTACAGCCAGCCCAAGAGGAACCTGGAATGGAGTGCTCTGAGGATGGGTGCTGGTCCACCTCAGCTCTGGGATGGGACCAGTGGACAGTCAGCTGAGCAGAGAGGGAAAAACAGCCCCCAGAGATCTTCAGGGAATAGCGAGGTGGAGAGGAGGGGTCCCGAACCTCCTCCACCCCGAGAAAGTGGGTTCGAAGAAGGGTTGAGAAAGGGAGTCTCCCCCCCCCCCCGCCTCGATGCTGAGGTGAAGTTGGAGACCCGCCCAGGTCATTAAGGTCTCAGTTCTGTCGCCGTGAAGGGGGTCTGCTCCCACTCGCCCCAGGCCCAAGCGCGGCCAGTGTCTTAAGAGCAAGGAAGGGTCCAGTATCGAAGGACCAATGACAGGCTGGTCCGCTTAGGAGGGTGTAGGAAGCGAGCGAACTGGGATCACACCCTCGCTTCTCCCCCCCCTCCCCCTCCGCCAGAACTTGGGCTTGTCCGCTTTGACGTGCCCGCCCGAGGGGACGAGAAGGGGTACTGACCCGAGAAGCCAAAAGCGTCCTGCGACTTTGTGCTCTCTGCTGCCCAGACTGAGCTGGGATGCTGCCCGGCTTGCCTGGGTTCCCCCCGAGACCAGGATGGAGGTAAGAGCGGTCTGGGGCTTTGGAGGGGTCTTTCTTGAGTGTCTCAAAGGAACCCCCCCACACACACAGGGGTGGGGACAGAGTGCAGCCTGGGGTTCTCTCCTGGGCGTGGGGGTGGGGGGTCTGGAGATGGGATGTGGCTCCTGGAGAGGGGGAAAGGCTTGGCTGGGTCTAGATCCAGGCTGCGCCCTCTGCAGCAGCGCCTCCTGCTGGCAGGAGGCAGCACGTGCGGCGGGTGCTGCCACCTGGAGGGCGGGTGCGGACACCGGGCCATCGAATCCAGGGGGCGCTGCCGCGGGTAGGGAGGCCGCCGCCTCACCTCGCCTTGACCTTCCCTGAGACCTGCGGCGCACTAACGGACCCAGGAGGCGTCCCCGCCGGGCTGCCTCCCTGAGGATTCTGCAGAAGCCAGCCTCAGGGGCCGGGACCTGGAAAAGGGTGGCTGGCTGGACATGGCTTCCCCGGAACTCAGAGGGGCGTCTTGAGGCTTGGGCAGGCGAACTGAGCACCAGCACTCTTCCTTCTCGGTCTGTTAACCCGGCTGAGGTGGGGACGCAGGAGGGCCTTGCTTCCTGGGGGGCGCTGGGGCGCGCGCGGGGGTGCGGGGGGTGGGGTGGGGCGCTAGCTGCACCGAGCTGGGGTCTGGAGGGAACCGAACCTCCTCCTCCCCTTAAAAGCCCCGGTGCCGCGCCTGCCTTTGAACCTTTCCCGCCCTCCCTCTGCCTGCCGGTGGCTGGCGGAGCTCCGCAGACAGACCCTGTCCTTCCCGGAGACCTGGGGGAGGGGGAGGGGATGGCTTGGGGCGGGGAGGGGGGGAGCGAGGTGAGGATGGAGGGGCGGTGGGAGACACCAGATGACTAGGGACCTGGGGTGGTAGGGAGGAAGGACTGGCGTGGGGAGAGACGGACTGGGAGGCCCTGGGGAGTGAGAGGAAGATTGAAGGAGGAGGCTAGAAAGGAAGGGGGGGGGGGATCGGAGGAAAGGGGTGGAACCACGATCTCGGAGAGGGAGCGGGCGGCTGGAGCTGGGCGGGCGCGGGGCGAGGCCAGGCGTGCAGCAGGCTGGAGCAGTGTGCAGAGCCGCGGCTGGGTCCTGCTCCCGCCTCGGAGCCCCTGGCCCGGGGGAGGGGGAGAGGCCGCTAGCCCGGTCTATGTCTTTTTCTGACTCCAGTGCAACCTTCCTGCTGAACGAGGTAACCGCCGGGGGCCCCCTCCCCAGAGAGGGGTGGCAGGAAAGCTCCGGCATTTGGGAGAAACTGCAGCGCGGGTGGGGTGGGGACGCGGAGTGGGGGACCAGGAGGCGAGACCTCTGGGTGAGAGGAGGGGAAGGCTGGATCTGGCGGCTCCTGCAACGTGCGCAGACAGGGGGCTGACTGGGGGCCGGGGAAGGGGCTGGATTGGGAGGGGGGCTGTGCCAGGCTCCCTCGGTGACCCTCTCGGAGTTCCTGGGCGGGGCGGCGGGGGGCAACCTTAGAGCTGGGATGCTAGGGGCCTCCACCTGGTGTAGCACTCCTAGCTCCTGCCTCAGTTTCCCCCACTTGGTGTCCAGGAATTTGCATCTACCCAGCTCCCGGGCACACTTGAGGCTTTCCTCCTTGCTCCTGCTTCCATAGCTAGATTAGCACGAGAACTGGACTCTGGCAGGTGTGACTGACTGTTGATGAGACACGAAGTGGGCACTGGGTAGCAACTCAGGGGTAGAGGTGGGGAGGGGGGGAGGGAAGACCCAAGTGCCGCCGCCTGCTGGACCCCAAGGGATGCCCGTCGGTATGGGGAACTTGAACCCATTCTCCTAGGGAGGTGGTTGGCATGGCAACGCATTCCTCAGAGGCAGACTTAGACACACCATTGTCCCAGCTGGGGATGGAGACAGACAACAAGGTGTGAGGAAGGGAATCTGGTGGTAGCGGATCCACAGCTGCCTGCAGTCCCAGGACCCTCTATGGGTGGGGAGTCCTCAGATGAGAGGCCATCTCCCAGGAGAGAGCCTGGGGGGTCTTCCTCCTTGATACCCACCTCTCCACCCTCTGGAAGGAGGGGGCTAGAGAGACGACGCGAAAGGAAGGTACAGGGGAAAGGCAGTGCTTGGGAACGCAGACTAGAACGTCTTGCTAGCCCCTCATCATGCAGGCTTCGGGGCTGGGAAACCTGGTGGCTGCCCCAATCTCGGCTGCTGCCCTCAGCAGCCAGAGCTCCAGTCAAGTTGCCTGCCAATCCTGCTAGGAGAAAGAGGCAGACTAGGGTGTCATAAGATGAGCCCCCCCCCCGTCTTTTTCTTGCCAAGGAAACGGGAAGATGAGAGAGAGGTGAGGAGGCATTTGCCTTGGGTGGTCTTCCTCTGCCCCCCCCCACTACCTTCTAATAGATCTATCTCATTAACCCTTGCAAATTGTGGCTTTCTGATTTCCCTCTGGCCCAGGAAGGGAAGGGGATGGGCAGAGTCCTGAACCTACCCTCCTGGGTGTGAGGAATAGGAATGGAAAGCAGCCGGGTTGAGAGAGCAAGACACCAAGCATGGCTGATGTCTGTCTGTCTCACGTCCTCTTGGGGGTTGCCCAGGCAGGTGGTTAAAATTCAAAAGGGAATTTTTGGTCAGGGGATGTAAGAAGGAGGGAGCTGATGTGGGGAGAGCCCTCGGAAGGTTTCTTCCATTCAAAGGGCTGCTGCTCTCTCTCCTCCAATCTCAGCAGTCCCTTAACGGGGGCTGAGTGGAGCGAGGTGGCGAGGAACATCCGACCCACCATACACCCGGCCTTTTGCAAAGCGCGAGACTTGCCCCTGTTCCTTGCCAGTCTCAGAGTCGGGATCCCACCTTCTGCTCCACCTGCAGCCATCCCCGGGCCTCCACCCTCTCGGCTTCATCTGTCCCTTTAGGCTCACCTAAAACAGCCCCTTTTCTGCCCCAGTTCCCACGGATGCCTTGGCAGTGTCTGGCACAATCCTTGGCAGGGAAGCGAGGAAGAGCATCTCCATCCCGGCTTTAAGTTGGATGAAATCTGCCCGTGCAACAAGTGTGGGGAGGCCTAGCCAGCGTACCCGAACTTCCCCCTTCTCAAGGGTGGGTGGGCCCTTTGCTGCGGCTGGGAGCACAGAGGGCCACGCACCTGTTGGGGCAGGAGCTGCTTTCGTGGCCTGGGATCTCCAAACCATTCCTCCCTAGTACCTCTGCGGGGTTCGCTTTGGGTGTCTCCTGGAAATGCAGGGAGCCGACAACAACGTACTGTCACCTGAGACCTCTCCCCATCCGCGGCCCGTCCCCCTCTATCTCTCCATTTTCCTGTCTTGCGCGTCCTCGCTGCCTCCAGCCCTCGGGTCTCTCCATCCAGCCTCCCCGCCGCCCGCACCCTCTCGATTCTCCGCTGGGGTCGCGCGTCTCCTCCTGGCAGTGTCTCGCCCCTTCCCCTCCCCCGCGCCAGCCCTTTGTTTCCCGGCGGAGCAGTTCCTGGGTTGCCCGAGTCCCCGTCTCCGCATCTCTCCTCGCCCCGCCTCCTCCCCGCCGGGATCCGCCCCGCCTGCAAGCCTCTCCGCCCTTCTTCCCAGTCGCCCCGGCCCCAGAGGTGCCGGGGACCCACCTTCCCGGCCCGCGTGCGCCCGGTTCC